TACATTGAAAGAGGGAGCTCCCATTATTTTTATTTTATTGAGGGAGCACGTGCACACGCACATGAGCTCACCTGCATGAGTTGGGGAGGAGCAGAGAGAGAGAGAGAGAGAGAGAGAGAGAATCTTAAGCAGTCTCCACACCTAGCAGTGAGCCTGATGCTGTCTCAGTCTCAAGATTGTGAGATCATGATCTGAACTGAAATCAAGAGTAGGGTGTTTATTTTTTTTAAAAAAAATTGTTTTAATGTTTTATTATTTCTGAGAGAGAGAGAGAGAGAGAGACAGTGTGACCAGGGGAGGGTTAGAGAGAGAGGGAGAAACAGAATCTGAAACAGGCTCCAGGCTCTGAGCTGGCAGTCAGCACAGAGCCTGACACGGGGCTCGAACCCATGAACCATGAGATCATGACCTAAGCTAAAGTCGGACGCTTAACCGACTGAGTCACCCAGATGCTCCCAAAAAACATATTTTTTAAGAAAATCCCAAACAACTAATTGGACCCAACATTGTTTACTGGGCTAGTGTGTGCTAGTATGATCAAGAATAGTCTCTGCTTTTAAGGAGTTTGTAGTTTGGGAAAGAAAATGTCAATAAATAGATTATTTAAAATCAACAAAAAAGGAATTAGACATTCAGGCTGAAAAGCAATTTTACAAAATAAGATAAACAGTTTGATCTAAAGACGTCTAGTTTTATTTCCAAAATAATTGTGTATTTCGATTTTATTTTATGAATTACCTTTACAAAATTGCATTTGCCTGGTATACTCAGCTAATCTTTTGATATTATTTTGATAACATTAACTTGATATTATATAATGAAAGTAAAAATTTAGTATGTTCAGAATATTATTTTATGGCAGTTTAAAACAGGAGTAACAGTATCGTTGCAAAAAAAATGATAAGCTGAAATGGAGCAGAATAGTGAACTCATAGTAGTGATCCCCCCTCCTTGCCCATATTACGTTTGATTTCAAAATATATTTTAGGAATTTTCTCCTCAGTAGGTTTATGCTATGTTAATTAATGGTGGGGAGAGGGGGCTCAAAATGTTTTTTGGTAGAGAAGTTAGGCTGTAAAAATGTTATTATTGGTTATTATTAAAGAATAACTACAAATCAGAAGGAAATCAAGTAGTGATTACAAAAACACTGTATTATTATTTTTTTTAACACTGTAATAACTTTTTTAAGGGAAAGGTTTTGCAAGAGTACTTGTTGAAACAGAGACTCCAAAGGATGAAAGGAGTAGATGGCTTATTTCTTCTATTTTATTATTAGGTTATTATTTATTAATGTATCTATTCTGGTAGAGTAAATGTAGCCTAACAGCATTACACAGTTAACACTCCTCAGAAAGAGCTTACTTTATTTTTTAAATTATTTTTTATTTTATTTTTTAAAATGCTTATTTATTTATTTTTGAGGTCGGGGGGGCGAGAGAATTCCAAGCAGTCTCTACCCTGTCAGGGAAGAGCCTGTCTGGGGGCTCCACATGGGGCTTGAACTCAGGAACCTGTGAGATTTAAAATCAAGAATTGAATGCTTAAGCCACTGAGCCACCTTGACGCCCCAGAACTTTATTCTTTTTACAAGGATCAGATCATTAAGAAACTGCTAGTAAGTCTCTGTTTCACTTGATAGCTTATAAAAGCAATTTATCATGAACTTCTATTGATCTTTACTAAAATATTAACTGAATACAGTGTAGGAATTGCCTTGAAATTGTTTCACCAAATTATTTTTAAAATTACTTAGGGCTTGTTTAAACTATTTGCCTAGAATGGACAGAAGAGTTGGAGAATCTACCAATAGCTCAAAAGATTCAGCCAGTAATTTAAATATTTACCAAATTCCTATCATATATGCAAGGTACTAAGCTAGATGCTGTCCTATAATGTTAGATATTGTCTTAATCTGCAAGTAGAGCAACATGGTTCAAGGGGATGATCTGAGTCCAACTGGTTTTCCAAAAACCTTGCTAAAGGATCTTTGAACTGTAACTAAAGGACCTGGAAATTTTATTAATCTCTAAAATTTAAAACCACATAAAGCCAGAAGGAGTCTTTGAGATTTTTTGATAGAAGTCCCTCATTTTACAAATTAAAAAGCTGAGCCTTCAAATAAAGTGCCCAAGAAAACATAGTGGCAGAGCCTAGATTAGAAGATTCTGGTCTATGGCTCTTTCTCCACTTCGCTTTCCCACTCTTGTCTAAACATTTATCAGTTTCTTCTTATGCCTAAGGCGCAAACAATTTTAGGTCATAGTTACAATTTTTGGGTGACTTACAATCTTGTTTAATGGCGACATGGAACAGACACTTTGGCTGAATTACACTTTTTCGACCTCCCAAGATGGTTCTATTGATAGCAGATTTCTTGTGATTTTCTCCCCCTGATTGAACAGTAGCTGGTTGCATTGTATAGTTGGGAAGTCAGTAGCCTCTGGAGTTGGACAGACCTAGCAGTGTGACTACAAGTTTCCTAACCTTGCTAAGCCCCAATTTCCTCATTTTAAAAATGGGTGTCATGGCTAGCAAAGTTGTAGTAGAAGTAGTGATAATATGGTCACAGTAGGTACCAAATACACAGAGCTGTTACTGTTGACAATGATGAATGTAGACTTCCTAGCAGTGTTTGACACATAATAGGCTCAAAATGCTAGTTCTTTCCTCCCTTGCTGTGAAAGTTGGGATGGACCATTTTGATTTGTATTAAATTAATAGTTCATCACTGAACTAAAAAAATAAAAAAACAAAAAAGATGCTGGGAAAATTTGCAGAGTTTTGCCAACTGTGCAAATATGAAGTATATAGAGAAATGAGTTTTTTTCCATGTGAATTGGTGAATTGGCATTAACTTTGTATCTTACTAGTTTTTTATGAAACTACATAGATAATAAATCAACATTTTAATTTTTCATTATAAAATATAAAAATACACTTAGTCAACAGCTTTTAGTCATTAGACAAAATTTAAGGAAATACTATAAATAGATTTTTTAAAGTTTGTTTATTTATTTTGAGAGAAAAAGAGACAGCAACACACAAATGAGGGAGGGGCAGAGAGAGAGAGAGGGAGAGAGAGAATCCCAAGCAGGCTCTGCACTGTCAGTAGAACTGGATACAGGGCTCGAACTCATGAATCATGAGATTATGACTTAAGCTGAAACCAAGAGTCAGACGCTTAACTGACTGAACCACTCAGGCACTCCATAAATACATTTTTAAACTTTGCATCCAAATGTTAAAAAAATTAGGTGTTTGTTTTATAAAAGTGATTTATTTACACTAAATTTAAAAAATGGACCCAGTACTCTCTATCAGAAATTAATATAAAATTTATTATCAATTACAAAGATAGAAAAATGTGTTTTAGAATATGGTAATCTTTCTTAAAGGGAAGACTAACAGTGTAATATTTGATACACAAGGAAGTTGTTGAAATTTTAAGGATCTGTGTTATATAAATGAATGGAAGAAACAGAAGAAGACAAATCAGATACATCTAAATCTGACAGTTTTTTATAGGAAAAACTCTGAGTAAAGGAAAATATATATATACACATGTACATAATATGCACATATATGACACAATAGTTTTCTCATGAAATACTTGTAGAAAGGCATTTTTTGTTTCCCTTGTAACTGTCACTATAGAATAGAGTGGCCACTTTGTTTCCATTCATTTTCTGTAACCACTACTATGGTAGATACAAGTTAATAATGATATATCAAATCTGGTGATAGGCCAAATAAATAAACAAATAAATAAAACTGAAGACTACAAGAGATCACATATGCCATGTTGGGTTGGAGGTTGAAATAACAAAGTTCTATTGAAGTTCAGAATCTATTTTATTAGCATTAAAATAAAAGCAAACAAAAACAATTTTGTCAGTGCACGTAGGTAAGAACTTAGACATCCATAAGTCAAGGGATTTAATGTTAAGATTCCAGAAATTAATGCTATGCCCACTAATGATAGCATTCTTTCAGGCTTTTCTTTATGACCCATGGCTGTCTACCATAGGATCTCCTAAACCCAAAACAGAACTTGTTTGGGATTTTTCAAAAAATGTGCAAATTTACATAATAAAATTACCTGACCACAACTACTTTTTATAATTGGCTGCTTTCAAGTTCTTTGTGTTTATTTTTTATAACTATGATCACTCATTTTAACTTATTTTTTTTAAGTTTTTAATTTATTAAAAAAATCTCTACATCGAACATGGGACTCAAACTCAAAATTCTGAGATCAATAGTCACATGCTCTTCCAAGTGAGCCAGCCAGGTGCCCTTCAAGTTCTTAATGTTTAATTCCACTGATATTACATTGTAAAACTGGGACTATACTTGGTTATTGGCAAGAAGACACAAGTAAGAATAGTACTTCCTCCCATATGCAACTGACTCAGTTTTCAATACCAAGCTTGGACACTTTGCTACATCAGTCACCAATAAAAGTCTTATGCGATCTCCCAACCCTGAACATTTCCGATTATCATTATTGGAAAAATCTGACTAGATCTCCCCTTAGTCACATCTAAGTATGTTGTCCACATCTTATTCCTTATCTAAACCCATTATATGATTTAGAATAAAATAAAATCACTATGTAAAACAAATTGGTAGCTTCGGAGCTCTTTAAAAACAATGACATATGTTTAATTACCATATAGTTACCATAATTTCTCATTATGTTGCTTTTTCCTCTTTAAAATAGGCCACAGGTGTATTGGTATATTTTTACTGTAGACAGAATAAGTTATCTAGAGATCATGTATCTAGCAAACTCAAGAGAGTCTGGAACACAGATAGAACCCTTAAAAAAAAAAAAAAAAAGCCCAGGTGTACAAAGATATTCCAAAAGTCCATACTTCAAAGCAAATGCACTTAATACATAGGTTAAAACCTTCAATAAAAACATACTTTTTTTAATTAAAAAAAATTAAAGTAATCCCTATGCCCAACATGGGGCTCAAACTCATGACCCTGAGATCAAGAGTTGCATACTCTATGGACTGAGCCAGTCAAGCACCCCCATATTTACTCTTATTTAAAAATTCTTACAAGTATCTGTAACACACTTTAGAACCTTAATAAAAAGTAAAACTGTTTCCCAGGCTCTATAGTTTTCAAAGAGCACATATTAACTCATAGCAAAGCACCTTAAGTTCCCCCTCGGGCATCTTAGTTTTGCTTTTAGACAAATTCCCTATGAACTTGGTGGTCTGGATGTTGGCCTGCAGTAAATTACAAATGAAATGCAGAACTGGTTAGGGCAGGCACATTATAACCCAACCTGATATTAACAATGGGCCAATGGGTTGCATCTTTTGGTGACAAAAAAGGTCTAAGAAATAGACATAAGATTTGAAAATACAGCAAACTAGGGTCATTTAGTGAGAAGGGAAATACTTCTCAATAGCTTCTAGCAATGTTAATATATTTGGGTCCCATATAATAGGTGAAATTCATAGTAATGCCCATTAATTATTAGAAAAACATTAAAAAATATTAAGTATATTGCTTTAAAAAAGTGGAGAAATTATTTTGGAAATATTTCTATTTAAAAAGGCTAATATGAAATAAATTTTGTTGCTTAAAAGGGTAGGCTTTGTTTATTTGGATAATCCAAGTGTGTAAATATCTCACTTATTTTCCAGTAATGTAGGATAAAGTGAGGCATATCAAAATAACACAAAAGCATGGAACTAATAAGTTCATGTATAACAATATCGTCATCAGAATAAATGCAGTGCATTTAAAAATCACTATCAATTCCTTCATTTTCTAGATTATATTCTTCTGAAGTTCCCTTTTCTCTCATATTTGAATATACCATAAAATCATGGACTTTTCCTTTTAGAACATCCAGTTCATTTTGCATCTTTAATATGCTATTATCATACTGAATTCCTTCAAGGGTTTTCTGCATCTCCATTATTTCAGATACTGCTTTCAGCATATCATCTTCCATGTTAAACATCTGAGTAGTCAAGTCTTCTACTTTTTTTTCTGTCCCTATCAGATCCTGAGATACCCTGAGAACAGAGCGAACAGCACTTTCAATTGCTGGCAAATGTGTCTTGCATTCTTCAACTTTGGGTTCATAACTGGAAATTTTATGAGTCAGGTCTTCATCTCTGGCAAAGAAAGCATGCTGTTCCTCTTCTAACTTTTCAACTGCCTTTGTATCAGAGCCAAGCTGCTCTTCTACTCGCAGAAGATCCTCTTCTTCTTGTCTTTTTACTGTTCTAATATTTCTTAGTGTGCTATCTTCCAAATCTTTTAGCCTTTCAGTGAGCAATTTTATTTCTTGTTCAGCTGAGTTAATTTGGACAGTAACTTGAGAATGTATGTATTTTGATTCTGATTTGAAAGTGTCTGTATTAACATTCATTTCTTCTAGGCTTCTTTTCCAGAGATCTGAAACATTCTGAAACTTCTCATTAAGGCTTTGCATCTTTTGGGTGAGCAACTCTTCACTATTTTGAATGTCATGCACGATACTTTGGAGGCTGGATACTTCCTGCTCAAACTGGGTCACCAAGGACATGGATGATGTTGCTTCCTGTAGGATACTTTCAGTAGACTCAAGCTGCATTTATAACACAAAAAATTCCCAAGGCTACTTAATAACTTTTATATTAGGGAAACACACTTTAACAATCACACCCCCATTCAAATTCTGAATATGTCTAAGATACCTAATTATATGAGAAGCGTAATGACAAAAACATTAACTACCTTAGTAGTTGTTTTACCATATTTTAAATAAATGTAATAGATTAGCACTATGGTAGAAAAGCATACAGCTGGATTTATAAACCTAAATATTTGCACATTTTCATGGAAGGATAATCAAGAGAGAAATAATGTCAAAGAAGCTTGAAGTGTATCACACATCCTTCTTTTCTTACTTTAATGGAGATCAGTCTTGTCATTTTTATAGTTACTTGCCTTTTTAAGAAACTGTAACCTAGTTAATAAATTTGTTAAGTTTCTTAAGTTCTATGATTCTGGAAGAGTTTGTGCCTGAAAATTTCTTGACTGACCTCTTACAGAGAAGGTACTAGAATCAGATCTTATAGATATAACAAAAATGAATAAAAATCATGTTTAGTGAGACAACTCACATCAAATAGTAATCTGTGCTAATAAGTATCTGTATATTGTGTTAAAGCTTCTGGCATCTCCTCATATTATAGAAGGGTCAGGGTATGGACTTCTTTTAGTCTAAACTCACATATAGATAACAGCCTTGGAGACTATAGGAAGGCCTAGAATGATCATTAACTTATTAAATGTTTGCAACATTGTGTTAAAGACATAATACTGTAGAAGTCATGGTTCTGCCCTTAAGCAGCTTAGTTTAATTGAAGAGAAAGCCAAGTCTACATGTGTTATGCCAGGGGAAGAGTTATGAAAGCACTTACATGAGGCACCTAAACCAGACTTCCATGGTCAAGAAAAATATTCTAGAAGTATTATCTAATGTCTGCTTCTAGTTACTTCTTTAAGTCATCCTACACACTAGAGCCAAATTAAGCCTTTAAAAACTGTCATGCTCATCATGGTACAACATTAAAAAACCCACAATGTTTCCTAATGTTTCTAAGATAAAGTCCTAAATTTATCTCTATATGCTATTCCCTCCTTGTTGCTTAGCTAAGTTCTGTCTTTCCTTCAAGGCTCAGACCAGATCTTTGCCCCTCTGTGCAGCATTCCTTCACAGCCCTAGCCCTGACAGCCCAAACCCCAATACACCTATTGTGCTGTGTATTTGACACCTGTTTGGCACTTAGCACACATTTTAAGGAAGTTTTTAGTGTTCACTCTGTGCCAGACCTTGTGCTACACACTAGATATGAAAATTAAGACATAATATAGTTCTGACTTTATAATATGACAGAGGAGACAGCACTTTGGGTCTTTTACATCACATTCTGGAGTCCCATTAAGATTTATTGATTATCGGGGTGCCCGGGCAGCTCAGTCAGTTAAGCTTCCAATCTCAGTTTTGGCTCTCATGATCTCACAGTTTAGGGAGTTCAAGCCCCATGTTGGGTGCTGCGCTGACAGTGCTTGGGATTCTCTCTCCCTCTCTACCCCTCCGCAGGTCATGCTGTCTGTCTCTCTGAAAATAAATAAATAAACTTAAAAAAAAGATTTCTTGATTATCCTGTTTCATTATTAGGCACTAGAGGTATAGAGATAAAAACACAGTGTTTGCTCTAAAGAGCAGTAAAGGAGGCAAATTAATAACAACAAAAACTCACAATAGATTATGATTTGTGTCATGACAGAATTGGCACAGGGAGAATGGATGCTAGGAGGAAAGATTGGTAGTTTGAAATGAGGAAAGCCTTAGAAGTCACTCTGAAATCTGACTCTTTAACAGACTGATGATATTAGTCAGGTGAAGATATGAAAGCTTCTAAATTCTTTGGGGAAGAGACCATGTCTTATGCCTTTTTGTAGCCCTCATATCTTACGGTATAAAAAACATGTTTGTTGACATTTAGGAAGAAGAATGGCCATAAACCTTCTAGGGCCACCCCAGTCAAGACCAGAAGCAATCCCAGGTAATAGCTAGGAACAATGTATAACAGTACTGACTAATATAATAAAACCACTCTGAAACCTTGCTTAAAATTAGTTTTAGTGGTGCCTGGCTGTTTCAGTCAATAGAGTATGCAACTCTTATTTATTTACTTATTTATATATTTATTTCTGAGAGAGCAAGACAGACAGACAGACACACACACACACACACACACACACACACACACACACAGCGTGAGCAGGGGAGGGTCAGAGAGAGAGAGGGAGACACAGAATCTGAAGCAGGCTCCAGGCTCTGAGCTAGCTGTCAGCACAGAGCCGGATTCGGGGCTCCAGCCCACAAACCGTGAGATCATGACCTGAGCTGAAGTCGGACGCTTAACCGACTGAGCCACCCAGACGCCCCAAGAGCATGCAACTCTTGATCCTGGAGTTATAAAAGTTCAAGTCTCACATTGGGTGTAGACATTACTTAAAAATTAAATATTTAGGGGCGCCTGGGTGGCTCAGTTGGTTGAGTTCTAATTGGTTTCGGATCAGGTCATGATACCACGATTCGTGGGTTTGAGCCCCACGTTGGACTCTGTACTGTCAGCGCAGAGCCTATTTAGGATCCTCTCTCCCTGTCCCTCCCCTGCTCAAACGCTCTCTCTCTCAAAATAAATAAACTTTTTTAAAAAAAATTATTTTTAGTGTTTATTTATTTTTGAGAGACAGAGACAGACAGATTCAAGTGGGGAAAAGGCAGAGAAAGAGAGACACACAGCATCTAAAGCAGGCTCCAGGTTCTAAGTTGTCAGCACAGAGCCTGACACGGGGCTCGAACTCCCTGACCATGAGATCATGCCCTGAGCTGAAGTCGGCAGCTTAACTGCCTGGGGCCACCCAAGCACCCCAAAATAAATACTTTAAAAATAAAATCTTTAAAAAATTGTTTTTAACGTACACATGTAGCTATAATACAAGATCCTTTAAAATTCAATTCTGAGAAATATTTGTACATCAGTAACACTGTTTTCTTAGTATCAGCATTTTGAAGAGGTAAGCTTATCTTCATCTAAGGTAATTTCCTATTTAGGCTGTTTACTATTTAGATCATCACTGTCTGGACGCAATATATCCTAGTAGACCCAAGTACAAGATCAACTTTTCACCATAGTAAAGGTCTCAAGATTTAATTGGAAAATACATGATTAGTATGCTACAATAATTTGCATTTAGGGGCTGTCAATATATCCCAACAGTTTTTTCATATTTTTTGAAAAAGGGCTTAATACCTTAAATTTATTACTGTTTAAAGTTTTCAAAAAGTTTTAATTAAATCACATCAGATCCTTATAAAAATCTTGTTATTCTCATTTAGTAAATGATGAAATATAGGCCAAGAAAAGTTAAAGTGATTTTTCCAAGTCACACAGCTGTGATGAGAGCCCACATCTAGTTGTTTTCCCTTCCTACTGATTATGCCGGCCATTAGGACCAGCTTTGTGAAAAGGCAGCTATTGTTGAATTGCTCCTAGGGAAGAATAGGAGAGGAAGAGCTTTGCAAAGTCTGAATATTTCTTGGATCCCATGATGATATTTAAAAAATATGCCTCAACGATGCTCAGCATCCCTCCTCATCAGGGAAATACAAATCAAAACCACACTGAGATACCACCTCACACCAGTCAGAGTGGCTAAAATGAGCAAATCAGAGAACTCTAGATGCTGGTGAGGATGTGGAGAAATGGGCACCCTCCTACACTGTTGGTGGGAATGTAAACTGGTGCAGCCCCTCTAGAAAACAGTGTGGAGGTTCCTAAGGAAACTAACAATAGAACTCCCCTATGACCCAGCAATAGCACTGCTAGGAATTTACCCAAGGGATACAGAAATGCTGAGGCACAGGAGCACATGTACCCCAATGTTCATAGCAGCACTCTCCACAATAGCTAAAACATGGAAAGAGCCTAAGTGTCCATCAACAGATGAATGGATCAAGAAGATGTGGTTTATCTATACCATGGAATACTACATGGCAATGAGAAACAATGAAATCTGGCCATGTGTAGCAACATGGATGGACCTTGAGGGTGTTATGCTGAGCGAACTAAGTCAGGCAGAGAAGGACAAATATCATATGTTTGCACATATAGGAAGATTAGGAGGAACTTAACGGAGGACCATGGGGGAGAAGAAGGGGGGAAACAGTGGGGGAAAGGGAGAGAGGCAAACCACGAGAGACTCTTGAATGCTGAGAAACAAACTGAGGACTGATGGATGTAGGGGGGAGGAGGGAGATGAGCATGGAGGAGGGCACTTGTGGGGATGAGCACTGAGTGTTATATGGAAACCAACTTGACAATAAACTATTTGTAAAAAAAAAAAAAAAAAAAGGAAGTCTTTCTTCAAAATTTATTTTCAATAGCTTTTAAATACGGAGTTTCTATCTCCTGGGATTTTTTTTCTACAATTTTTTTATATAAATGATATATATATATATATATATTTATAATTTTGTAGTCCCCAACAAGGACAACCAGATTCCAACTTGAGCCCTATGTCAAAATACCCATTCTTGCAGCCCTATGCAGCTTCTTTCTCAGGTCCCTTAGCTCCCCCCACTATGGAATCCCTGGCATATGTCAGAGGTGCATAATTTTCATCCATGGCTTTTTTCTTCTGGAGGATTAAATACTAATTCTGTGCACGAGGCTGCAGGAACTCAGACCCTCCTATTTCATTTGTCTGTTTTTGTAAAACCTTGCCCACCTTGGTGCCAAGCACAAGTCCTTGTCTACCTTACGACATGAGTAAAGGTTTAGTGAATGAATAAATGTCCCAATGATAGCTTGATTTCTGTTAGCCAGACAAGTCCTGCACGATACTTTATTGATTGCAGCTGACCCCTCCTGGGAAGCATGGTAGTTAAAATTTTTTTATCTGTCTCACATTTCTAAGAATTCCAGTAATAATGCATCTGCATTTGCAGCTTCAAGAAACACAACAGACACATGGATTTTAATTTTCATTTGGCTACAAAATCAATATTTATTTTTATATTAGTCATTCTTATACGCAGGTGTATATAAATTTACCAGCTGGAAAGTAAGGAAAAAATAATGGATGGATTTTTGCCCAAAAAGTGCCATTCTTATTCTAATTTTGTACCTAAAGAACAATTATATTTTCAGTGCTCTAGACACTTAATATTTAGATAGAAAGTTGGAGTCATATTAATATGAGAATATTGGTCTTTTTAAACAGTAACATTGATATATTTAAAAAAAAAAACGTTTCCTTTCAGAATAATCTGAGTCTAAATTCGATTGGAGGGGAGAATATAAAGATAAAGGAAAACCAGTGAGAGTTAAGACAGTAATGGTTTAAAGGCAGGAAAAAGGAAGTTATGAACTGGAGTAGAAGGGTAATAGTAAGGAAGAAAAATGGGAAAATATTCCCAAATAAGCCAATTAATAATTACCTTTTCTGAAATTAAACTGATTTTACTTTGCAGTCCTTGGAACTTGTTGGTTTCTATTTTCAGTAACTGGTATTGGCTTTCCACCTTTGCAAACTTTTCTGACTGCTGAAATACAAACCTGGAAAAGAATAAAAATTCATTAACTTCTAATTCATATCCATTTAAGTTAGAATTTTTTTTAAAAAAGTTTATTTATTTATTTTGAGAGAGTGAGTGCATAAGTGGGGGAAGAGCAGATAGAGAGAGGGTGAGAGAGAAACTCAAGTAGGCTCCGTGCTGTTAGCACAGAGCCTGACTTGGGGCTTAATCCTATGAACGCTGAGATCATGATTTAAGCTGAAATTAAGAGTCGTATGCTTAACTGACTGAGCTACCCAGGCCCCCAAGTTTGAATTTTAAAGGAACATTTTATACTTCTGGTAAGGACAACATAAATTCTAGTATGAGTGGTGAAAGCTTAGAGTTAAGTTTATTTGAACAAATTAATAGAAAGTGAAAACTATCCCTGTTCAAGTCCCAGTTCAGGAGTGAGATGGTGTGATAGTTGTATGCACAAGAAATATTTTGGAGGAAGAAACGATGAAATTATCTAGAACATGATATGGGATCTCTACTATTTTTCTCAAGACCATATTTGGGTAATATCTAGAAAATAAGTATTTTCATACAGAATGTAGAAGAGTTACCTATATAAAAAAAGTACTAAAATTTTTTAATGTTTATTTAATTTTTAGAGAGAAGGAGACACAGTGTAAGCAGGGGAGGGGCAGAGAGAGAGGCAGACGCAGAATCCAAAGCAGGCTCCAGGCTCTGAGCTGTCAGCAAAGAGCCTGATGCAGGGCTCGAACTCATGTACTATGAGATCATGACCTGAGCCAAAGTTGGACGCTTAACAGACTGAGCCACCCAGACACCTCTATAAAAAAGGTATTTTTAAATTAAAATGTAAAAAAGAAAAAAAAAACTGGAATAGGACAGAGAGATGATGATTAGAAGTTGCAAAATAACAATAGTCAAAAATATGAAAACAGGAGTCATTGTCAAAGTGGTGACAGAACACAACACAGGGTGTATAATCTCTACAATTATACTCAACAGTACGAGTCATATAGGTGTCCTTTATTTTATTTTTTGTATAGGTGTATTTTAGGTGCCATTTTAAAATTGGTTTGTTTTCTTCATCTGGTAAATAGCAAAGGGTAGAAGTATAAAGAAGTTATCCAGATCTTAAAACAATAAATATAATTTTGTTTGTATAGGACTTGAAATAAGCAAAGACAAAATAAATGCTTTGGGTCTAATACCATTTTGGTTCATTTACTTTGATTCAATTCTGTGGGCTCTGAAAAAGCAGCAGTTAAAATTCTTTGTGTTATTTATTGAGTCATCAAAAAGCAGTGGAGCAGAACCATATGAAAAGAGTGCTTAAATCATAGTACATAGACCAGTGGTTCAAAAGCTTTGCTACTTATTGGAATCACTTGTCTGCTTTTAAAAAGTCTCATGCCTGGATCCCACCCACAGAAATTCTGACTTATGTGGTCTAGGATGTGACTTGGATATCAGAAATCTTCAAAGCTCCCCAGATTATCTGAGTATTCAATAAAGCTGAGAACCACTAATTGATAGTGCTTTATGACATTGACTTCCATTGGAAGATAAACATTTAAAGATCCCAAAACTCAAAGGAAAAGTGAAAGACTTCAGAGGTTTGTGTATCATTGCTTGGGTGATGTTTCAAACTCATAAATGTCATTATTAGGCTAACTTGCTATAAAACTGTCCACAACTAAAACGGACTTTTTGCTTTTTGAACAAATGTTTACAATATTGGATGAAATAAGTTTCTTTTGATGATGGCTAATCTCTGTCCTATGAGATAACAGTGAGTTGAGTAAGTCTGGGTTACATAATTAACATAGATTGACTTTTCTCCTATGTGCTAATATGACTTTTATTTTTATTTTTTAAAAGTTTTTATTTATCTTGAGAGAGACAGAGAGAGCATGAGCAGGGGAGAGGCAGAGAGGAAGAATCCCAAGTAGGCTCCATGCTGTCAGTGCAGAGCCTGACACAGGGCTGGAACCCATGAAACGATATCCTGACCAAAGCTGAAATCAAGAGTAGGTCGCTCAACCAACTGAGCCATCCAAGTGTCCTTAATATGATATTAATTAATTAATTTATTAAAATGTTTATTTTGGGAGGAGGGGCAGAGAGAAGGGGGCAGAGGATCCAAAGCAGACTCGGACAGCAGAAAGCCTGATGCAGGGCTCTAACTCACAAACCATGAGATGACCTGAGCTGAAGCTGCTTACGCAGCCCCCTACTATGACTTTTAAATAACATTTCTGGGGGCGCCTGGCTGGCTTAGTCGGTTAAGCGTCCGACTTTCGCTTAGGTCATGATCTCGCGGTTCGTGGGTTCGAGCCCCGCGTCGGGCTCTGTGCTGACTGCCAGCTCAGAGCCTGGAGCCTGTTTCAGAATATGACACAAACTCTCTCTGACCCTACCCTGCTCACGCTGTCTCTCTCTCTCTATCCTAGAAATAAATAAAACATTAAAAAAAAAAACACATTTCTGGCTATTAGAAAATGCTATTATTCTAATTTTCAAAGATGAATGTATAGACTTTTTTATATTGGCTGTTTTATTCTTGGATTTTAAGAGATTCTGTTCAGAGTATAGGCTTATCTGAGATCATCAGACAAAGAAACCGAGGATGGAGAACACCCTAAAGAAGTAAGTCTAATTTCAGAGACTGGTATTATCATCCATTACTCCACTGTTACTGCAGGAATTTATCCTAGATCCATGTGTTTATTCAGAATAAAATCGTTATTATAAGAGACTTTTGTGAAGGTTGATCCACTACTATAACATATTATAACAGTTTTCATTTTATTAAAACTTCTCATGCTGCCTATTTCTGGAGTTCTCTTTAAAATTCAAATATTAAGCAAAACCTTGAAGAAAACTATATCATGTTAGTGCAAATATCATCTCTGATGATAATTTGCAGTTTTTTTTCATGGTTAGCTTTTCAACAGATTAAAACAAAGACTCACCATTGCTACATATGAATAATAATGTATATAAAAAAACAAGCATAAAGTTGACTTTGTGCTAGTAATGAAAAAAGTGAAAAGTGGTTTGTATGGTGCTGAGTTAAAATACATTTATTTTATTTTTCACTTTGATGTACCAGGCCCTATTCTAAAATGATTTATAGGGGTGCCAGGGTGGTTCAGTCGGTTAAGCATCCAACTTCGGCTCAGGTCACAATTTCACGGTTGGTGAGTTTGAGCCATGCATCCGGCTCTGTGTTGACAGCTCAGAGCCTGAAGCCTGCTTCAGATTCTGTGTCTCCCTCTCTATCTGCCCCTCCCCAACTTGTACTCTGTCTCTCTCTCTCTCTGAAAAATAAATTTAAAAATTTAAAATGATTTATAAATATTAACTCATTTAACATTAAGGAGAAGAATGACTTTCTAGAAGTCATTGCTGACAGAAAGCAGCTTCAATCCTGAAAAACTAACTTTTTGAAATTGGTATCCAGAGTAGCATCCAAAGGGCTTTGTTTCCTTTCTACAAGTCAGAGGCATATTCTAACAGAAGCTCAAGGCCCCCTTATTCCCAGTTGCCCTCAGTTAGATGAGACAGACAGGGTCTACTAAGGGCTATAGCTTCTAGTTAGAAAAGGACTATACATAGTTCTGGAGTAGGGACTTTTATTTCTAGGGTCTTGGCCTCTTCTTAAGGATTAGTATCAAAAGTAGGCAGCATATCACACTGGTTAAGAGTATGGAGCTGAGGGGCACCTAGCTGGCTCAGTGGCTCAGTTGGTTGTCCAACATTTGGGGATCAGGTCATGATCTCACAACTCATGAGTTCAAACCCCACATAAGGCTCCGCAGAGCCTGCTTGGGTTTCTCTCTTTCCTCTGCCCCTCCCCCGGTCACACATGCTCTCTCTCTCAAAAAAAAAAAAAATGTATGGAGCTGAGCTACTTTGGTTCTGCCATTTACTAGCTGTATAATCATCTTGGGCAAGTTATTTATCTGTTATAGTTTCCTCATCTGTGAAGTGGAAATAATACTTCATAGGATTGTTGTAGAGATTAAAATGGTTCAAATTTATGCAGTTAGGACACTACACATCAGCTGTTCTATGTTGGCCCTTTCTTTCAGACTGCTTTGTGCAGCTGCTTTTCATCCCTGTGACAAGCCTGTAGTGGTATAAAGGATCAGCTTTCTCTACTGCTTACACTTGACGGAAGTCCCACACCTGCTCACCATTGAAACCAGGGTTGGCTTTACAGTAAATGAAAGATGGAATGGATGGATTAGACCACTTACAGGAAGAAAAGAACACTCTTACTCTGTTTTTGGGCCTCTTCTCGTTACCATATAGGAAAAGATATAGAAGAAAGGGACCCAGGTTAATTGGATAGTGTTGGCCTTACAAAAGGATTCTTCAACTCCTTCATCATCCATTGCAGTCTACAGAAAACTCATACAGATTCAGGGCCTTGTAGCATTAAAAAGTATTCATTTCTTTAGGGTGTTGACTCTACATAGCTCCTTTAGTAATCTTAGATGGTGGCAGATAGCTGATTAAGGACTTACAGGGTTTTTCTGGCTTTGTTTCAATTTAATAATGAAAAAGGGGCAAATAACAAAGGAAGCTATTATTATGGACCTTCTGCAAGAAAGGGAGATCCAGGGCCACTAAGGTTAGTATCCATTTAGCCCTGTATGTCATACTACAGCTTCATTTTCAGGCACAATACTGAACATTCAGGAAAACAGTAACCATATTCCATTTTTAAACATCAAGTCATTTAAAGCATAAGCCTCTCTTCCAGATAAAACTTCACTAACAAAACAACGTAAAAAAGATGAAAAATGAGGTTAGTGAAAATTTTGAATGTAACTTGTGTCTTTATTGTAACCATGAACAGGAAATTCCTGCACTGAAGTGTCTACCTTTCAACTTTTCCCTTATAGATTTGTCAGTGTTTTCCCAGAACATTAACTAAATTATTGAAAAGCTAAGCATTTTATGATGTAATTTATCTCATATGAGTCTTTGGATAATTAATGAGAATAAATTCAGTAACAAACCAATTGTAACAGGTTCGAGAGAAGCAACATGTACAAATGATCCTCAACTTAAAACGGTTTGACTTAAATTTCGTTGACTTTATGATGATATGGAAGTGATATGCATTCAATAGGAACTGTACTTTGAATTTTGACCTTTTCCTGGGCTAGCAATGTGATCCTAATTCTCTACTTGGTAGAATCCTCTCTCCTGATGCTAGGCATTGGCAGCAGGAGCTCCCTGTCTGCCATATGACCAAGAGAGTATACAACTGATTCACATACAACCATTCTGTACCCATACAACTATTCTGTTTTTTCACTGTCAGTATTCAGTAAGTTATATAAGATATTGAGTATTTCCTTATAAAATAGGCTTGTTAGATGATTTTGCTCAAGTGTCTGCTAATGTTAAGTGTTCAGAACACATTTAAGGCAGGCTAGGCTAAACTATAATGCTCAGTAGGTGAGGTGTATTAAATGCACTTTCGTATTATGATAGTTTCAGCTTATGATGAGCTTACTGGGAAGTAATCCCATCTTAAGTCAAGAAAGGTCTGTATCTTTTAGCCTATTACTGAATAAATTTCGGAGTAAAAAAGGGTTCTTACTTACCTAAAGAAAGTCATGCATTTTATTTCTATTAAAGACTATTTTTTAAAATGTTTATTGTTTTTGAAAAAGAGAGAGAGAGAGTGTGTGAGTAGGGGAGAAGCAGAGAGGAAAGGAGACACAGAATTGGAAGCAGGCTCCAGGCTCGGAGCTGCAGGCTGGAACCCACGGACTGTGAGATTAGGACCTGAGCTGAAGTCTAATGCTTAACCGACTGAGCCACCTAGGCCTCTCAAAAGTCATGCATTTTAAGACATAAGAGCAGTTTATTTACAAGAGCAAGTTTATTCTTTAAAATCAAAATAAAAATATTACATAAACAAAATACCATATTGCTAAGATGAACAATGTCTTTTTTTTTGAAGAGAACATTTAATAACATTCACTTTATTGTAACAAATCTTTTATTGACTTCCACTCAGTCACCAGTAGAGTACAATTCAAAATTTACTACCAGCAAAAACGGCCTAAAAGACATCCAGAGTCCCTTCTGGAATTCTATTACTCTTGAAAATGAATATCTTCTAAATACTTTAAAAATCGGTTAAAAGTGGAGGGAAATTTTAATTTTTTAAAAAATGTTTTATTTATTTCTAGGAGAGAGAGAGAGAGACAGCGTGAGCAGGGGAGGGTCAGAGAGAGAGGGAGTCACAGACTGAAACAGGCTCCAGGCTCTGAACTGGCAGTCAGCACAGAGCCCGACGCGGGGCTCGAACCCACGAACCGCGAGATCATGACCTGAGCGAAAGTCAGACGCTTAATCGACTAAGCCACCCAGGCGCCCCGGGAAATTTTAATTTAAAGCAACAGTGTTGTTATTAAGATGAAATAGGTTATTCCTAAATAAAATGATTGGGGAAAATACAATTAATGAGTTGGTTTTATGATTCTTTCTATACATCTTTCCTATGACAACAACAGCGCCCCGGGAAATTTTAATTTAAAGCAACAGTGTTGTTATTAAGATGAAATAGGTTATTCCTAAATAAAATGATTGGGGAAAATACAATTAATGAGTTGGTTTTATGATTCTTTCTATACATCTTTCCTATGACAACAACATGTGACTATTTGCTTGGTTTAAAAACCATAGATGTTCAGTTTTCGGTGAACACCAGAGCGACACTTCCGTCATTTCACGGTACAAAAATTCAATCTGGAACTCAGGAATATACCTTAAGTTCGTAACTTAGGTAATGACATGGAGTTAATTGGTAACGCATTAACAATAATCACATGAGAAATGCTCCAAACTCTCGTTAGTTATCATTAACCGCTTGTTGCCGTGAGATCATAATGACTTCTTTAATGGTTGCAAACCCTGTCAATAGGCATTTCTGAGGTGAAGGTGGGGCAACGGCGTCCCAGACAAATAAATACACAGCGGACAGGAAATGGTGAGTTACACGAACGCAAAGCTTCCGACGTGTAGCAGGCGCTTAATAAAGTTTGGCCAAATCCGCATCTCTTAAGAAATGGCCGACTCGTTCCCAGATTTTAGTCTCAACTCCAGTTGAGTGATCCGGGCACACTACTAATACAAAGGAAAAATGAGATGGAAGAAACGAGAGAGAAGAAAAAAAAAAAAGTTGGATTGTCTTTTTTTTGAAGCAGAGGAACCGAAGCCGCAGGTCTGGGGTTGGAGGTCAGCGGGATGCGGATCCGCGCCGCGCCCCGAGGAGAGCGGGGCGACCGCGCGAGGCCGGACCCAGGGCCCGGGCGGCCTCGCGTCCACTTACCAGGCCAGGCCCAGGCACGTTCCCAGCGACAGCAGGGTCATGCCGGTCCGGGGGTCCGCCCAGCTCCCGCCTCCACCGCCCCGGGCCTCGGGGGTCTTTCCGCCCTCACTCCGCCTCCCGGGCTCCGAGGGGGCTCCCTTGGGTCCCGACTTCTTCCGGCTCTTCACCTCGGACATGTCTGGAGGTCCTGAGGACAACAAATCCAGGGGAGCTTCTTCACCCTGGGTGAGGGGGACGCCTCAGCGGTGACCGCGCCCCCTCCTGGACTTAGCGCCGCCCAGAAACCTGCCCCCTCCTCTCCCGGCAGTTCTGTTTCACAGCGTCCCTCAGCCTCCCACCCTTTAGTTCCTCCAGCTGAGGCACCTTGGTACCCTATTTCACCTTTCCTCAGCATTAGCGCTACAAATCTGAGGAAATCGTGGATTCCCGGCGCGCGCGGCGCGCCGCGCAGCGTGGGGGCGGGGCGGGGCAGCGCGCGCCACGTGGAGCGCGCCGCCGCCTGCGCCCCCTGTCCACGGAGGGTGGCGCGCCCCCGTGGCTTGGCCACGCCCCCGCCATCGGGTGGGGCGGAGGGCTCAGCCTTAGGCGCGCGCGGGTACTAGCAGTAGCGGGAGCGCGCCCGAAGGCGTCCCACCCTGGGCGCTCCGGCTGGATTTATTTGCTTGCGCGGGCGCGCGCTGCCCGGACTGGGCGGGCCGAGCGGGTTTTGACTGCTCCCCGGTTCCGGGGCGAAGAGTAGGAGATACCGAGTGGACGCTGATGCTTTATTTCTGGCGTGAAGGGGCGAGGGAGCGGAAGGTGAGGAGTCTGGGCCACCAGAGACCCGAGAGGACTTGAAGCCGCGGCGGCGTCCAGAGGGGCGCCAGGCTCCCGCCGAGGTGCAGCTGCCGCCGAAGGGAAAGAACGACAGCCCGAGTGGCCTGTCCCCTTTGTGTCTAGGGTGAGGTCTACCCAGAGGGCGGCCCTCAGACTGGGCTCAGCTTGGCGCCCCGGGCGGGGGTGACGTCTACCTCTCAGCCAGTCAGAGGTCCCCTGGGGGGGGGATTTATTCAGGCGCCCCGGGCTACGGACGCTCTGGTGAGCCACCTGTGAGGCCCAGACTTGTCCCCGGGCTACGCGGAGGGCCCCACATTCCTTTTAAGAACCCCCATTGCTTACCTCCCCAGGCCCCCACCCCCACCTTGAGTTCCCAGTGTGTCCCCGCCCGACCGCTCTTTCCAGTAAGACCTTGGTGCACAGGTTTGGGTAAATTTGCGCCACGCCATTCTGCCCGAGCTGGGTTCCTTGGAGGTTCAGAAGCCGGTTTCAGGGGCGCAGAATTCTGGGACAAGGAGTAATTGGTAACCATCCTGCTCCTGCACCAGGAAGAGAAATGACCGAGAGAGGAAATAGCCAACTGTTGCAGGTTTCCTGGATGAAATTGCCCTTTACTTTCTTCCTCTTTCATATCTTTGACGAGTTTGGTTTTACATTTTGATGCGGTTACAAAAATTGGACACTGGGAATTTTTTCAGACTATTCCCATTTGTGCAGTTTAAAAACGCGTTTAAAATTTACATACTTAATAGGGATGGGGAAAGTTGGAAATTAGTTTCAGGTTGTCAGAGGTGCCTGTTTGCTTAGCAATTCGAAATAACCTAAACAATTAACTGAAAATTAAGGGACGTTTTATGTTTAAAATTTTTTTAAAGTTTATTTATTTTGAGAGAGAGAATGAACAGGGGAGTGCAGACAGAAAAAGAGAGAGAGAGAGGGAGAGAGGGAATCCCAAGCAGGCTCTGTGCTGTCAGTCAGGAGCAGCTGGATGAAGGCTCCAACTAACCAGGAAATCATGATATGAGGCGAAACCATGAGTCGGAGGCTTAACCAACTAAGCCACCCAGGCACCTGAGGGGACATTTATGTTTCAATTGAGATCATAAAATGTTAATGCTTAAAAAAAATGCCATAGCTTGATTCCAATCATAACTTTTTCTATTATCGTTCAGTTTCGTGCTAATGCTGGACATTTGGTGAAACTTGACAAGTATATGCAAGTAAGTGCTCTATTTCCTTACGTTGCAAGTACCACAGCTGTGACTTTAAAAGTATATAGTCATTGTTGACACTTAGTGGTTATCCCTGCTCTTCTCTGCACCTCAGATGATTTGTACTTATCTGTATTTTTGCACTTAGGACATCACATTCTAATTATCTCTTTAAATTTTTCTCTCCCACTAGATTATGAATTCCTTCAAGGATATGATTTAATCTCTGTAGCCTTCAGGGCCAGACACATAGGGTGCCAAATGTTTATTGAATCAATAAATTAATAAATATATTTAGACACTTACTGTACTACATTGGATAGAGTTCTGTTAATGTTTTAAAAACTTGCAAACATTCTGATCTGGATTTTATGCCCATGGAACAATTTGTGTTGTATTTGAAATAAAGTTGGTAGGAACTTAAGAGTATTATACTGTAAAGAATATTAATTGTTTTTTTGTGTCCTCTTAATCCAAGGAATGACACCAAAGAGTATTTCCTGTTGGTTTGTCATACTTAGCACAGCCAAAACATTAGTGGAGTCAGCATGTGAGAAATGTGTTTTATTTTTATTTATTTATTTTTTTTTTACAAATAGTTTATTGTCAAGTTGGTTTCATATAACACCCAGTGCTCATCCCCACAAGTGCCCTCCTCCATGCCCATCATCCCCCCAACCCCCAACACCCATCAGTCCTCAGTTTGTTCTCAGTATTCAAGAGTCTCTCATGGTTTGCCTCTCTCCCTCTCCCCCACTGTTTCCCCACTTCTTCTCCCCCACGGTCCTCCGTTAAGTTCCTACTAATCCTCCTATACGTGCAAACATATGATATTTGTCCTTCTCTGCCTGACTTATTTTGCTAAGCATAACACCCTCAAGGTCCATCCATGTTGCTACACATGGCCAGATTTCATTCTTTCTCATTGCCATGTAGTATTCCATCGTATAGATGAACCACATCTTCTTGATCCATTCGTCTGTTGATGGACACTTAGGCTCTTTCCATGTTTTGGAGAAATGTGTATTAGATGAAGACCTAGAGCTGACATTTACCTTGAGTGAAAACTAAAGCTCAATACCAAGAATACTTTGTTTAGTCTTAATGTTTGATAAAGACAAGTTTCTAAATGTTAGAGTTTCAGTATGATCACTGTTTATAAAAATTGTAATTTTTTAAAACTTTTTAAAAATGTTATTTTTGAGACAAAGTGTGAGCGGGGGAAGGGCAGAGAGAGAGGGAGACAGAATCCAAAGCAGCCTTCAGGCTCTGAGCTGTCAGCACAGAACCTGATGTGGGTCTCAAACCCATGAACTGCAAGACCATGACCTGAGCCACCTAGGTGCCCTTTAATAAGTTTTTTAAATTGTAAAAATGATAATGTGTATTGAAAACTTAAGACTATTTAGAAAAGTACAAAAAAGAAAAAGGGGAAACTCACAAAATCTTGCTACTTGGAAGTAACCCAAAGTCTTTTTTGTTGAATAGACTTCCTGATACCTCCGTACGTATTTATATGATACCAACACACATTTTGTGCTGTTTTGGGAATCATATTTCTAATTTTTTAAATCAGTTTGTGGTGAACCTCTTTACATGTCAGTGCATGGAGATATATTTTGTTTTTTGTTTTTAAATGTTTATTTATTTATTTTGAAGCAAAGAGCAGGGGAAGGGCAGAGAGAGAGGGAAACAGAGTCCCAAGCAAGCGTCTGTGTTGTCAACGTAGAGCCAGTGGCTGGGGTCAAACTCAAAAGCTGTGAGATCATGATCTGAGCCAAAATCAAGAGTCGGATTCTTAACTGACTCAGCCACCTAGGTACTCCATAGAAGTATAGTTTGTTTTAAATAGTTGTATTATATTCCATTGCATTCATACTCTAATTTTTTAAATCGATACTCAGAATGCGGGCATTTAGGTTGCTTTCATCTTTTTTTGTGGGCCTATTAAAATGTTTATTTATTTTGAGAGAGAGGGAGAGTATGAGTTGAGTGATAGAGAGAAAGGGGGACAGAGAATACCAAGTAGGCTTCTCGCTGTCAGCATAGAACCCAACACAGGGCTCTATCTCACCAACTGTGAGATCATGACCTGAGTGGAAATCAAGAGTCGGACACCTAACTGACTGGGCCAGTCAGGTGCCCCTCATCTTTTTTGTTTTTAGTTTTGTTTTGTTTTCATCTTTTTTTCTCACCTAAACATTCTCTATTAACTTTTTTTTTTTTTTTTTTTTTTTTAAGTAGGCTCTACGTTCCATGTGAGGCTTGCACTCAGGGCCCTGTTAACTCTGTGTGTGTGTGTGTGTGTGTGTGTGTGTGTGTGTGTTTGATATTTCTGCATACGTATGTAAATGTCTCCTTAAGGTAAATTTCTAGAAGTGAGATTTTTGGGTTAGAAAGAATACTCACCTTAAATGCTTTTATATCTTATTGCCTTCCAGAAAAGTTACATCCATTTTGTACTCTCCTCAAGTGATACATATGAATACTCATTTTCTCCCACTTTTGAAGGCATTGGGTTTTGTCCATTTTTAAAAATCTTTGCCAAAAAATAAAATCTTTTCTTTATTTCTTGATTACCAGTAAGGTTATGTACATCTTTTCATATCTTTATTGGCTTGACAAATATTTTGATATTTTGCTCATAGCTGATGGTTGATAGCTTAGGAAAGAATTTGAAGGAGGATGGATGCAAAAGCTCGAAACTGTTTGCTTCAACATAGAGAAGCTCTGGAAAAGGACATCAAAACATCCTACATCATGGATCGTATGATTAATGATGGAGTTTTAACAGTATTGGAGGAGGAAAAAGTAAGAAATGAGGTAAAGCCCTTTGAAGCAGTCTTTACTATAAAGTTTTTTTTTTCAATTTTTATTTAAAATAATATTATTATTTAATGACAAAATTTTTTTAAAAAATTTATTTTAGAACTTGAACTGGTCTCCACTAATTTAGGTTGCAAACATACTCTTTTAGTATACTAAACTGCTTATTTATTTTTTTTAGCCCACTCAACGGCAACGAGCAGCTCTCCTAATTAAAATGATACTTAAAAAAGATAATTATTCCTACATATCATTCTACAATGCTCTAATACATGAAGGGTATAAAGATCTTGCTTCCCTTCTCCATGGTGGCATTCCTGTTATCTCTTCTTCCAATGGTGGCAAAGATTCGGTTGGTGGAATAACTTCATATGGTTTGTATTCATATCTTCTATCACATTGCTATGACAGTGCTACATTGCTACAGTTTCATCTTATTGTAAATGGAATCTGTTGAAGAGACTGTTTGGTTCTCTGAAAATGCATCTGAAAAAATTATCATTATGTTTTCCAATTTAAGTATTTTTGTTTGTACCTATGTTAACTTACATTTTCCTCTTGCCCAGGAAGCTGTCTACTGCTGAGGGAACAATACACATACTCTAACTTTTAGAGATTAAAAATTTTCGGCTTTTATTTAAACTCTTCTCCAGTTCTGTGTTTATTGAATTCATGCTTAGGAAAGAATAAGAATCTTTAGAAATCTGTGTTCTTGAAAGGATTTCCATATTCTTACCTTTACACCCTCCTTTCCAGTCTTCAGTATGAGAAAAAGAGATTGAAGAGTCAAGGAGGAATAGGATGTATAAGGGCAAATGCAGATGGAGCTTTCCATTGTCTGTAGTCATCTTCAAAGGCCTATGTTTTTGTTATGTTTGAAAAATCAGAACATTAAGGTTACTATGCTAGCCACATTTTCTTCTCTTGGAAGTTCTGAGGTTAAAGCCCCAGCCTTGCTTTCTTTGGTTTTTATGGTATGACTTGAGTAACTATTTCAAAGTTCTGTTCATTCATATATACTTGTTTTGTTTTGGATTTCAGTAAGGACAGTCCTGTGTGAAGGTGGAGTACCACAGAGGCCGGTGGTCTTTGTTACTAGGAAGAAGCTGGTGAATGCAATTCAGCAGAACCTCTTCAAACTAAATGGTGAACCAGGATGGGTCATCATATATGGAATGGCAGGTTGTGGGAAGTCTGTTTTAGCTGCAGAAACTGTCCGAGATCATTCTTTCTTAGATGGTAAGTTTGATTACCATGTGTTGCTGGCTAAGAAAGACAGGGTATTAGTTTTCTGTTGCTGCTGTAGCAAATTACCAAAATTTTGGTGGCAAATAACAACACAAATTTATTATCATGTGGTTCTGGAAGTCAGAAGTCCAAAGTAGTTTTTACTGGGCTAAAGTCATGGTATCAGCAGGGCTGAGTTTCTTTTGGAGGCTCTAGAGAAAGTCCTTTCCCTGGCATTTTCCAGCTTCTAAAGGTGGCCTGCACTCCTGGATTCATGGATCCTTCTTCCATTTTCAAAGCTGGCGGTGCATAGCATCTTCAGATCTTTTTCTGTCTTTATGATCTTTGCATCTGTCACTACCTCTCTTTCTCTGACTCTCACCTTTTTGCCTCCCTCTTCTAAGGACCCTTGGATGATCCAGAATAATCTCATCGCCAAATCCATAATTTAATTGCATCTGCAAAGTCCTTTTTTGCCATGTAAGGTAACATAATTACAAGTTTGGTAGGTTAGGATGTGAACATCTTGGAGGGGCTATTAATCTCCAATTCCAGGCATGATTAAATTTGAAATTTATTTTGTACCTAGTCCATCACAAAGAGGCTTGGCTAAACAGGCTAATAAAATTCATGTTATCAGATGGCACTTACTATTACTGGATTGAATCTAGTTCCCTTGTGTCTTAATAATTGAGGGGATTATAGAGTTGAAAAAGGATTTTGAAAGATTATCCACCTTATATCCCTGCCTTTTAGGGAGTATTGGACTTATACCTTCTTGTCAGTTGAGTGCTGTAGAGGAGATTTTTGGAAACTCCTTTCATTAATGATTCTCCCAATGGGTGATTCTTCCATGTATTTGGCATCCTACATTGAACTATTAATTCCATTTCTGTAATTCTGTCAGTTGTCTATCTTTAAAAATCTTTAGGTTTACCTGGCTGGCTCAGTCAGTAGAGCATGCAGCTCTTGATCTCAGGGTTGGGAGTTTGAGCCCCATGTTGGATTTTGGATATAGAGATTACTTAAAAAAATCTTGAGGAAAAAAAAGTCCTGGCTTTTCTTTAAAAAAAAAAAAAAAAAAATCTTTAGTAGCTTGTGTACCTTATATGTAATCTCATGAAAAAGAAAAAAATGGGAATTGACTATGGCAACCAATGGGTTTTTGCAGATAGGCCTTTTTAAAAAAAATGATTTTTTTTATTTTTAAAAATGTTTTTTATATTTAAAAATGTTATTCAAGCACCAATGTGGGGCTTGAACTCATACACTGTGAGATAATGACCTGAGCTGATGTCAGACTGAGCCACCCACGTGCCCCTACTTTTTTTATTTTTTAAGGAATCTCTACAGTCAGTATGGGGCTTGAACTCACAACCTGGAGATCCAGAGTCCCATGCTCGACGCACTGAGCCAGCCAGGCGCCCCTGCAGATAGGCTTTATAGATTCATTCAACATCTAGTGACTGACTTTTTCATGTTTTCATGTTTAAGAGTCTACTATGGATCTTGGCAAAAAAGAAGGCCCAGTCTGTGCATCTAAGAAATTTATTCACAGTCAAGTAAGGGAGACAGACATGTAAACAAATTATATGTGACAAACTGAGCAGTAGAAACAAGTATATGGTACAAAGTTAGGACAAAGGAAGGAAGTTTTATCTCTCTGGTGGAAGAGGATGAGCAGAACAGTCTCCTCTAATGACATAACATTTTAGCTGGCATTTGGAGGAATAATAGAAGTTTGCTAGGTGGACTAGGTAGGGTTGGGAGAGTAGGGAAGGTATTGAATAGTTACTGTACTGGAGAAGGGCGTACTGTGCAGAAGAGTGTTTAGGACATGTGGCAAGTGTACTACTGACCTTAATGAATCTGATGGGTTCTCAGTGTATTCATAGTTAAACGGCTCCATCAGTCTTTGGTTCCTCCATTCATTAGTGACTTCAAGTGGAATTTAAAGATAGTTCCTGACTTCTAGTTAATAAGTTTTTGTTTATGATACATAATCAGCAGTTAAGAGAGTTTATGACGAGATGACAAAATTATGATGGAAATAACAAGCCTTTAAGAGATTTAGAAAGATGAAGGCTAGGGCACATCTGTTGTACTCACCCTGCTTTGGTGTATACTTCCCAGCCCTTGTCAGCAGTATTGATTTTCTTTTGTTAGAAATATGCCCAATTCCTTGGTTTTTCCCCCTTGTCGTTAGAGAGAAATTTTGTGGGATTCAGTTCCATCCAAGTCTCAGGGTTTAGGATTTATTTGCATACTTACTTACTTATTTGTTTATTCATTCACTCTACTGCAAAGTTGATCACTAAGAGTATTTCAGAATAAAAATTGGTTTAAGAATATTATGATATATTATTGATATATTTCAATATTGTGATGAATTTCCTTTAAAAAATATTTTTAGCATACTAATTAAAAGATTAAAAGTATGCCCCTCAATTCAGTTTAAATCACTTTAGATTACTGAAGTGAATTTTTAATTTTAGGGATTAAAATTGACCAATAACTTATGGAATTAATTACCCAGGAATCATATTGTATATATTTGTGGTCTCAGAATAGATTTATAACTACCTTGTTTTGAGAAAACGTCAGAGACACTGGCAGTAGTCCAGTGTATAGTGAGCTTAATATCTTTCATATGCTTTTGTGAGATTTCATGTTCATGTATAGAGGATTGAATTAATCATTCTTTAGTTCACACCTGTTTTCATATTGGGTCTGTGTAAGACTTAGCTTCTTTCTCCCTCCCTCCCTTCCTCCCGAGTCTGTGTAAGACTTAGCTTCTTTCTTTTCCTTCCTTCCTTCCTTCCTCCCTCCCTCCCTCCCTCCCTTCCTTCCTTCCTTCCTTTGTATAAGACTTAGCTCTTAGGTTCTTGCTGTTTGTTTCCTTTTAAAAATTTCCCATTCTCATTTTCCTTCCACTCCTTTAAGATACACCTTTCCATTGTGTCTCACTCCTCTGTTTCATCTCCTCGGTAGTTCTTCAAGACCAGCTGGGTGTTCTACAGTTTAACTCAATTCGGACACTAGGATACCTGGAGCTAGTGGCAGATTCCACAGGTTAAGGGTTTAGTCTTGCAATACTGCCCTTCTGCCATCCCTCCCATCTTTCAGATGCTAATCACAGGTCCAGGTTGTTACCTGTGCATTTGACCAAATGGCTATGGATTGGAGTTTCCCTCTTCTTGGATTTGATGAATTTGCTAGAGCAGCTTTATATATATATGTGTGTGTGTATACATATATATATGTATGTATACACACACACATATATTTTAATGTTTTTTATTTATTTCTGAGAGAGAGAGAGCGAGCGAGCATGAGCAGGGGAGGGTCAGAGAGAGAGGGAGATACAGAATCTGAAATCTGAAACAGGCTCCAGGCTCTGAGCTAGCCGTCAGCACAGAGCCCAACATGGGGCTTGAACCCACAAACTGTGTGATCATGCCCTGTGCCTAAGTCGGATGCTCTACCGACTGAGCCACCCAGGCACCCCAATATATATATATATTTTTAATGTTTATTTCTGAGAGAGAAGCGGGGGGCAGAGAAAGAGAGAGACACAGATCCGAAGCAGACTCCAGGCTCTGAGCTATCAGCACAGAAACCCACGCAGGGCTCGAACCCATGAACTGTGAGATCATGACCTGAGCCATAGTCAGATGATTGACTGAGCCACCCAAGCACCCCTAGAGTGACTTTCAAAGGAAAACATTTTACGTACTAGATTTCTGGTTTATTATAATATTATAATACTATAATATTTATTAGGGTATAAAAGAAGAACAGTCAGATGGAAGAGATGCAGTAGGGCAAGGTATGTGGAAAGGAGTGTTGAGCTTCCCTGTTGACTCTAGTATACCACCCTCTCTACACCTTCATTGCACAAGCTCTTTGTACCCCCTTTTTGGGAGGCTTCATTATAAAGACATAGCTGATTAAATCATTGGCCATTGGCTGTTGAGTTCAGTTTCCAGCCTCTCTTCCTCTCTAGAGGTCTGGGAGATCTGGGGCATGGGACTGGAAGTTCCAACCTTTTATATGGTTGTTGCCCTGGCAGCAGTCCTCATTTTTTGGTTATATTGAGCCTTTACAAAAATAACTTTATTAACATAAACTCAGGTGTGGTTGAAAGTGACTTATTATATGAATAATTTCACTTTTATACCTCTGGCACTATTTCAGGAACTGGAAACAAAACTAAATATTGTAAAAGGTGTCCCTATGGCTCTTATTTGGGAAATTACAAGGGTTTACAGCTATATATTAGGAACAGTGTTGAAGAACAAATATATTGATCAGTGTATCATACCACCCCATAAGTGATCCTTCCAATGTATTTAATGTATGTTCTTTGTAAGTGTATTTGTAATGTATGTTTTCTTATAAAATGTGTTGTTTGTAGGCAGATATTTTAAATTTGCTTAAATGTTACAGTGTTACTCTATTTCTTATCTCTTTTGACACTGTTTTTAAGACTTATCCTTGTTGCTGGGTATACATCTTATTTGTTACACCTGATTGCTATCCTACATGGAATGCATCTAGCACATTTTATTGTTCAGTTCCCTAGTTAATAGATACATAGATGGTCTTCAACTCTTTGTGGCCCCACCAAAGCTGGGTTGAACTTTTACAGAAGTGAGACTTTTTGAGTATATATATCTAGGAGCAGAAGCACTAAATTACAGGAAATGGTGACCCCAAATTTGATTGCCCTCTAATCTGTGCATTCCCACCAGTAGTGTAAGAGGGATCTTATATTCTCACTTCTTTATTGACACTACGTATCATTTAGATAAATAATTTTTTGCTAGGTCAGCAGATATAACGTGTTATCTTTTGATTTGCATTTTTCTGATAACTTGAGTTTGACTATTTCTGTGTTTTTTAACATTTATTTTTGAGGGGGAGGAGAGAGGGAGAGAGGAGAGGGAGAGGCAGAGAGAGAGGGAGACGTAGAATCTGAAGCAGGCTGCAGGCTCTGAGCTGTCAGCACA